TTTCCTACTTTGTTTTTAAACTTCAGGGAAAAAAAAGCTTGAAAGAAGCTCAAAGAGACGTAAATCGAATCAGATGGTTCTGAGCCAAAATGCCTAATTTGATTACTGTCAATTTGTTGAAAAGAAAATTGGGGAAGAAACGAAGTGATTTTTTGGCTTGAGAAGAGAAAATCAACTAGAGGAAAAGCACCCGCGTTTAGGCTTGCAAGCTTCAAGCAGATAAAATAACGCACAATTTGCATTTTAGTGTTGCGCTGTTCAATAATGCGATAGAATAAGAAAAGGATTATGATATAGCTAATCTTTCCCGTAATTCAATGCAAGTGAATTCCCAAACCCACCTTTTTTCCTCCTTTCCCAAACAATTTCGTGGTACATGGAGATAATTGCGCATCAGAAGGTGAGCTCATATGCAGTTCTTGTTGAAAATGACGACGAGTGCGTACAGCGATTGGTGTCTCTTTTTTCGCAGCGGCGACAGCCTAGAGAAGACGTTTGGGAAGTCCTGTGCAAATTCACGTCGAAAGGGAAAAATGATCACTCACTTTTGCTTCTGCTGTATGGTTCTCCGAGGACTCATTCATTTTTGGAGGAGTGGTAGGCCTAGCGATGGGAGAAACAAATTTGTGGTCGTCAGTAGGATTAGTGCTCATCTTCTGAAAAGAAAAAAGTGAAAGTGCTTTTCTCTAACTTTGTGATTTACTACGATCAAAAGAACAAGTTAAATAAATAGTAATAGAAAAGATTATATAATTTGAAAAAGTAAGCTACGCTCTAGTGAATTTTTTTTCCAAATCATCTACGATTTAAGATAAACCCAACCTAGTAAGAACTAGTATAATATCCGAAGATTTTGTAAAATAAGTTTATAATGCAAACAAGCCATTTCACATCTTATTGCTAACACTGCATTATTAATTACTCGATATGATAGGCGTGATATATGGTAATATAAACAAAAGAAAAAGAACATCATTAAGCATATAACTTGAAACGATTGAATAGCTGGCAGCTATGTTGAAAACATTGAAGACTCTTCCAAATGTTGTATCAAATTTCATTCGCTTAAATAATCAAAATTCCTCATCATCGATCTCAAAACCGATGAAGAATATGGTTTTTTTTTCTGTTATTTTGAATACGATTAAAAAAAGATCCTCAAAGAATACAGTTATCTGCATGAGGAATAGGAGATTTATTGAAAGAAAACAAGAATTGATCCGATTTCAGTGAGATAAAGGTTTTAGTGGCGCTTGAAAAAATTCCTTACATATAATTAAGTATTTGCTCAAGGTAGATGGTTTCACTCATTTTCAAAATGCAAGGAAGAAGTAAATAACACAACTGCAAGATAACCGAAGCAATTTCTTTGCTTGAAGCCTCGCTAAAACATAACATGCGATGTATGAAGTGATTAGGAATCTTAGACATGTTCTAAAGAAAGAGTACTAAAGTCTAGAAGATACAAAACATTAGACTTATGTACGGTGACAAATATTTCGGCAAATGAATTTCTTAACAAACTCATAGCATCACGAAAAGTGCAAAACCCAGCAAACAACCTCCGATAAAAATCACAAGTGACACTTGGCGGACATAATCGCATTCAAGACATGACAGGAACTAATTTGAATTCAAAAAATTCCCGCTCAATCAAATTCGCGGAGATTGGGGCATAAATTCTCCGCAGTCCATGGTAAGCAAAATTTTTCTGGTCATTTTCAAAGTTGACATTCAAAAATGTCGTTTAGAAAGTGAATGTTTGAATTGACCTCAATAAGAAAAGCATTTCTTTTTGGCTTCTCTTTACAGATAAAGTAGCTCAAATAAGCATGTTTCTCAT